CTGGGAGTTGAAGTCCACAAGTCTTAAAGCAGCCAAGTTTTATTTTTTATTTTTTTTATTTTTGAATTTGTATACCGCCCTTCTCCCTGAGGACTCAGGGCGGTGAACAGCCAAATAAAAACATCAAATACAAATATTAAAATACAGTTAAAAATATATATATAAATTTGGCCCCATTAATTAAAACAATAAACAAAACAATTAAAAACACTTAAAAAGAATTAGGCCAGCCCGGCTTGTTGGAAAAGGAAGGTTTTAAGGGCACGGCGGAAGGCACTGAGGTCATGGATTCTCCTTATCTCAGGGGGCAACTGATTTCAGAGGGTGGGAGCCCCCACAGAGAAGGCCCTCCCCCTGGGGGTCACCAGCCTGCATTGTTTGGCTGATGGCACCCCGAGGAGGCCCTCTCTGTGGGAGCGCACGGGTCGATGGGAGGTCGTCGGTGGCAGCAGGCGGTCTCGGAGATAGCTAGGCTTGTTTGAAGACCTCTGCTCTACAACAATAGAGTGGTATTCCTGGGATCACTATGGTGTATGTTTCTTGACCTGCCCTATTTTCAAGGACGATAGGACATCATTGCTGGCAAGATTTTGCCCTGACTCACTACTGACAAAGATAGTGAAGGTGTGGGTAAAGCTTCCTTAATAAAATATTGACTTAATCTCAGAATAATTTACACAAAACCAATCAGCAGGTTGGGAAATAAACACCTCTCCTCTTGTCATACTGATAGGTAAAAAGAACAGAGCAGTTGGATAATCTCGGGAAGCCATGCTAGACAACAAAAACAAACTTTCCACTTTTTCTTTTCATAATCAATTTTGAAGGGTTTCTTATGTTTTGGCACAGTTTCTCATTGAAAAGAACACTATAGAAGGACTGTCTTTGTCTCCTGAATATTGTCCACAATATTGATAATCTAGGCCAAGGGTGTTAAGCTCACATCGTCACGGTGGCGTCACGTAATGTATCAGGACTTTTTCCCCCCTTCACTAAACCCGGTATGGGCGTGGCCAGCACGTGATGCATCTGGCCTGCGGGCCGAGAGTTTGACAGCCCTGATCTAGGCCCTTCAGGGTTGAAAGAGGAAGTTAAAAACAACTCCAGAAGCTTAGCAGGGCCCCATTTTCCCTATCAAATCAGCCACTATGATATCTGTTCCAACAAGATGCTCCTGGGTTGGAGCTGAAAGGCAAAAGAGAGCAGAATGCTCTCTCCCACATGTTGGAGTAGACCAGGTGTCTCGGTAAAACACTTAATATATATATATATATGTCTTCTTAAGTTTTTGTGGGTGTGCATATGCAAAAAATTAAAATCTCGGGTGTTTTCCCGCGTCGTTGTAAATAAGTTGGTTAAAATATTTAAGCTGGGATTTTAAGCAGGATTTTAAATATTTTAACCAACTTATTTACAATGACACAGGAAAACACCCGAGATTTTAATTTTTTGCATATATATATATATTCACACACACACACACACACACACACACACACACACACACACACACACACGGTGTATAGTTGTATAATGTCAGGTCTCTAGCCTTGTCAGTGCAGGCACACTTCCACCACATGGCCTTCTCCAACTCAGTTACGTCACAGAGAGTGACCATCAGGTGTTGTTTGCTTACTGTCATAGTAAGCTGGGTGCTTACTGGCCTTTGCAAAGAGGAGACATTAATGCCATTAAAAACCTTGGAGTAATAAGTTCAGTGTTAAGGGAACAAGCTAAAATCCCCTAGCGAACCAAGATGGCCTTTTAATATAAATCAGTACAAAACTTGACAGGATTCCCAGCAAAAGCCTTTCTATATGAGTTTTCTGAATAAGCTACTGCATTTGGGCAGAATCCCTATTATGTAACATACAGAGGCAACAATGAAAGAGGCCTCATCCTTGGGAGAAACAGGTTCTATGCTTTAAATATGAAAAGGATGTAATTCCACAACTTCCAGAGGATATTGATTTTCTGGACCTAGGTCATGAGGGCTCTAGGAAATAATAGGAAGTTGAAACTCTTACACAATCCCAAGGTAGGCTATGCGGCACTAGCCGAAACATGTTGCTACAACAATGTTGAACATGCTACCTGCAACTGTTCTTGAATCTGTCTTAGCTGACAATGGATAATGATGCTTTGATTACACCACAATTCAATACTGAGGAATATTATTTATGTATTCTTTTATGCAAAATGTCATACCGAGGCTACTGCTTGCTTGCTGCATCTTATCACAACCAGTTTATATTCATATGCTGATGGCTAGCAGTTGAAGGGATGCCTGTCAGAGAAGGATTCTCTTTCTCATTCTAACTGCTGAGTCTTGCAGGAAAAGCCATTTATAGGACTGCTTGTGAAGCAGGCAGGAAAGAAACTGTCCATATTCTTCCCAAATTATTTTAATCTCCTGCTAATGGAGCTGTATTTGATTTGCATTCTCTGTACTTTCCGGAAAAAGCATAAAGACCAATCTTTTTATTGTGGCTTTATATAATTTGCTTTTGCTAATTCTGTAGAATTGGTGTCATTTTTATCTTGTGATTATTGTTGTTTTATGGCCTCATGTTTTGCTTTATAATGATTTAATTACTTCAGTATTGAAGGCTGCCTGGTGTTTATTTTAAACACATTCATAAAATGAGTAATTTAATTAAATTAACTAAGTAACTGATAGTAGATTACTGTGGCTGAATTAAAGGAGGCTGTTAAATAATGAATACCATAGATTCATAGACAGTATTATAACAAACTGACTGATGATTGCATCTTAGCCGGAGTGCAGTATTATGTTACAGTGCATTGTATTCTGCAGTCCAAGAAATATATTGCAGTTGACTCAAGCATACTATAAGCAGGTTTGGAAAGCTTTATTTTTTTTTAAAAAATCACTTTTTCATGTAGCCCCAAAGGGTAGGCAACAGCTAAAATAATGCTGTATACCAGCATCTCGATCAGTGTTTTTCAAACTTGGCAACCTTTTGACTTCAATCCCCAGATTTCCACAACCACTCTTTATCCTGACCTGGAGGAACTCTTGAAATATTGTTCAGGTCTCATAACAATGTTTATATCTACAGCTAGCACCACACAGTATATCAAACTAAAACCAAAAAACCAAAGAAGCCCAGCTGAGAGAGGCTGGTTTAGTGTATGGGTGTATTTTTAATGTCGGATCGCCACATTCTAAGTATGGGCCACCCTTCGTATAGGGAAGACAGGAAGGGAGGACCCCATCTTACACCGATGTGCATATGGCCTCTGCCTGCTTCGAGTTAAAAATAGTGTTTGGTGGCTTCTATTGGCTTAAGACTGAGGCTAGGTTTGCCAGCATTGTGTCTTGCAAGCAACCCCTGAATTTTAACAGACATAGGGTCTGTACTGTACAGAGGCACCATCTCATCTCATATTCCTAGCTTTTTTTTCTTAAAAACTATTTCATCTCTTTTAAAGGTCTTGAATTTGTCACAGTGACTGAAATACATGCTGGACATGCAGGAGATCTCTGATTCAAAATTTCACAGATTTTTTTTTATTGTTTTTTTTCCCCAAGGGGAAAAATGGAATGATGGACTACAGGATATTTTTTTTAAAAAAAACAGGCCAAAGGAAAAGTAAGTAACCTAGGGAAAGAAAAAACAACAACAACAACAACAACAACAGCATTTCTGCCAGCTTTCAAATATTCTGAATGTTATACAAAGTGTGTAAGAAAACTTTTATTTATTTTATTTATTTATTGGTTCGATTTATATGCCGCCCTACTCCGGAGACTCAGGGTGGCTTACAATGCGTTAAGCAATAGCCTTCATACTTTTGTATATACCTGCTTAGTAGGGATTTTGCACCCCCACCCCCCAAGCGGTGTTTTTTTTTATACAAAGTCAGCTTATTGCCCCCACAAACCGGGTCCTCATTTTACTTACCTCAAAAGGATGGAAGGCTGAGTCAACCTTGAGCCTGGTGAGATTTGAACTTGCAGTAATTGCAGGCAGCTGGTGCTAGTTTACAGCACTTTAGTCTGCTGCGCCACCAAGGCTCTTTTGATGGAAGAATACATGAGAGGATTTTTTTTTAATTTGAAATTTGTATGTTTGTATGTGCATATACATTTAATTTAACTTTGTATATGTATTTATTTATTCATTCACTGAAACAACTCTAGGGGTGTACATAGGTAAAGAGGTAGAACAGGCATATGGTAGCCACTAAAGAAAATAACCATCTATGCCCAGAAATAAAAATGCAAAACAACATATACAGAAGGGCGTTACAAATCACTCTAACCTAATCTCGGCATAGTTCATCCATAAGCGCAACTGTTTTTGTATCATAACCAGGCCTGAATCCAATCCTTTCCTTTCCTTTCCTTTCCTTTCCTTTCCTTTCCTTTCCTTTCCTTTCCTTTCCTTCCCACTTGCCCCTTGCCTCCTCTCCATATATTAATATTTTAAAATACAAAAGATGTGTTAAAAACCACAACAAAAAACCCCTCCATCTAAATAAAAAGATGCATTCTATGCCCTCTTCTAAACAATAGCAATCGGAGTCAGCATAGCTCATGCTGTTCCATAATGTCGGATCTATGCAGAAAAAGCCAAATTATCCATGTATTAAATGCTATAGTGGAATCTGCAAAGGGGATTACACTGAAGATCTAAAAGCACAAAAAAGACTATGCAGAAATAGGCAGTCCTGCAAGTCATTTGCTCCTAAGATTTGTGGATGTGAAGATCAAAACATAATAAACAAAATAAAATAGGCCTCTTAGCTTGATTAGTAGACTTTGCACTGATTTGCCAAAGGCCACCCACTGTCTGAAGAGCCACTATTAAATTTATTTCTAGCAAGAACTAGCAAATAAATGTTGCATGGATATGGCTATGGATACAGGATAAATAAAAGATGATAGGAAATAATAGTATAATCTTACCTCTTAGCCTATAATAAGTTTGGTGGCTTGCTAAAATTTGCTTCACTGATTCTTGAGGGCAGACCTTCACTCCAGTTGAGATAAAAGAGGATCGCTTGGTCCGATGCTTGGCCATATCAAATATCCTCCGAATAGTTGATACTTTAGACCTCTTTGCCAAGTTTTCTGACATTTCAGATCCTGAATCCTCTGCCAGATGTTTGGCATCATTATGATTAATTTCACTAGGGGTTTCTGTAAGAGGAAAGACACAAAAACACATCAATAAAATACAATGCAGAATTATTATCTCCCAATAAGACCTGGTGTAATAACAATAACTCAACAATAATAATGGAAGACACAGTCGCTGGTCGGTGGCGATAGACTGGAAGAGGTTAATATCAAAAGAGGAATCTTTCAAGGAGACTCATGCTTACTGTATTATTGTTATTGCACTGATTCCTAATCAACAATACTGAATAACTCACAACTGTATGGAAAACTATGAACTGAAGTAGAATCACTGCTCAACACTGTCTATATATGCAGCCAAACTATTGTAATAGAGTTTGTCTGGACCAATGTGACATCCTCATCATAACAGGCGGGAAATAGTGAAAACTGAAGGAATCAAGGTGTCTTGTGGAAATAACTTCAAAGAAGTTCACTGAAAATACCTCAAACATTGAGAGTAGGCAAGAAAATGCAGCAGTAAAGGGGTATAGAGCTAAGTATATGGCAATATAGAGGAAGGAGAGAAACTGTAGTGCTAGGTGGGAATGACCTTGGGAGACCAGGTGAAGACATTTTTTCCCCAAGGAATGGTCAGATAACAGGAACATAGCCCTCAGCTACATAGTGGGTGGAGCAAGATTCAAAGAACAGACCCTCCCTCAGTTATTAGGCTTTTAAAGGTGACAGTGGGAAATTTTACTTTCAGACTTGCAAGATTCTGTTAAGGTAGCTTTGCAATAGAATTAGCTGATCTGGTCTGGTTTCCTGTCTGGTAATATGACAGAAATGGAAAGGTCCGGGGATGGGGAGCAAGAGAGTGAAAATGTCCGGTTGCATGAAATAATGGGAATAATGATAGAAAGTCTCCAATTTGTACATTGGAGAAATGTATTTTTAATTTGTTGTTGATGTGGGATGAATTAGTTTATAATTTATGGAAATTCCATTGGAATTGACTCTATGACTCCAATTTTTTAAAAAAAAGTTTTGAAACTGCTTTATTCCAAATGCCAAGAAAGCGGGGGGGGGAGTTTAGAAGTGTATTTCTAAATGCTGTAACATATGTTACATTTCCTTATGCTGTTTCTCTTTGTTTCCAAAAATAGTCTTTATTAAATAATAAAATCTAGAGACAATGGGATAAAATTACTCTTGCACAAAATACAGGATTTGTCAAAATGTAGACAGCATTAAAAGAGTGCAAATAAATTTATCAAATCTAGATTCTATGCCTGACATAACTTACAGGACACTGTAATTAATTTATTTTCCTTAAACTAAGATTAGAAATACTGAAGGTTTTATATTTCATTGAATTGAAAAAAGCTTTCCACTTTCGTGAAGATAATAAAAGAACAGTTAAGTACTTATGTTGTAAATATTATTCATTGAAGTTTAACAGAATTATAATATTAATTTTAAATGTCAAGGTTCCTCAGAAATAATATGCCTTTCTCTTCTGGCATCTATCTGTCTATCTATCTATCTATCTATCTATCTATCTATCTATCTATCTGTCTGTCTATCACCTAGCATCTGTCATCTCTTCATATATGCTTATTTCACCACTAACCAGGATTAAAAAAGAAATGGTGAAATGTATTTGTAAAGCTTTCTAAAGCACAAATAATTATTCTAAGAAACCAACAGCATGTGTACAATTTGATTACTGATGTCTGACTATAGATGACAACAGTATTGGGGGAGAAAATGGGTTTATCAAGGGAAAAGAAATATTTTTTAAAAAGATCAAGTACAGTATATAAGGGAATTAGAATATCAGGAAAATCAAGAGCTAAATATTTAGTTGAGTCACATCAGTGCCTTTTCTTCTATAAAATTAAGCTTGTACCCATGCCATAAACAATAATTATTGTGTCACTTTATATTAGATAAATTAAAAGAAAATAAAAAGGGAAAGATGCTTCATCCTGACAATCTGGAAATAACTGAATTGAACTTTAGCCAACAAAGAAAAGAGAAAGAAAAGGCACGTTCAGCAATATATTAAAAGTTGTCTTTCAAAATGAGATAATTCATCACCTTAGTTTCTGTACCCCATCCTAAATTTCATTAGAAGCCTCAAGCAATGTGAAAAAAAGTGTGTGAGGGACATTTGCATACGTCATTTAGGCTCGCTTGTCCTGTATTCATGGCAGCTTAATTTCAAATCAGTTTAAGAAAAACAAGTCTGGAACTGAGACATTTTGACAACAGCTCACAAGATATTCAGTCCTCACTGCAGATAACTTAAACCCTCCTTCTCATCTCTCTCTCTCCCTCCCTCCCTCCCTCCTTCTCTCCCTCCCTCCCTCTGTCTCTCTCATCTCTCTATCATGATCACATGGCTATGGGACGCTGCAAATGGCTGTAAAAGTGAGCCAGTTCTCAAGCACCCAAAATGTGATCATTAAGTGACCAGTCATAAGTTGAGGACTATCTGACAATGTAAAAACTGTAACAGCCACTATGTAGGCAGGCAAGCAGAAGACTAATAAACTGCAACCATGAACACCAACTAGCAATCATAAGATACTGTACATCAAAACCTCCATAATCTCACAACACATGGACAGATTCAACTATAGTTTCAGCTGGGTAGCTGTGAGCATCCTAGACCAAGCTAAATCCAAAAATGCTAGGGAATTCCTGGAAGCTTGGCATTTAGGACAAATAAGCCATCAATAGACACATAGAGATTAATCACATTTACATCCACTCAAAAGAGATAATAAAAAAAACTAAGGGGGAAAGAAAAAAAGCAGAATACATCCTCTCCAGCAGTCAATATATTATTATTATTATTATTATTATTATTATTATTATTATTATTATTATTAATAATAACAACAACAACAACAACAACAACATAATATAATAATAATAACAACAACTTTATTGTCATTGTACGTATATACACAGTATACACATACAACAAAATTCACTTAACACCCAAAGACCAGGTCCAATACATATAACAATCCCCAAACACCCCCCCACCCACCACAAATTCCCCGCCCCTAAACCACCCAAACATCCACACAACAGACCAAGCAATGCTGTCCAACAGCTCACTGATGGCGGCCCTTTAGTTCATTGTTGAGTGCAATTATAGCTCTGGGATAAAAAGTATTTAGAAAATGTGTGGTCCGAGTTTTAATTGTTCTGTATCTTCAATACCTAGACAAGCAGGGATTAACACCAGACAAACAATCAAGCAGAAAACAATATCCTTATCAATGAACAATCAAGAAGAAAACCATCTCCCCACTGACATTGTCAAGGCAAGCTACTGCATATAAATAGGGAGCAAACCCCACTGGCACTGACAATGTTACCTAGTTGGGTAATGAAATGTCTGCAAGCAAACAAACAACCAAGCTCAGAGAGCACCAAAGATTCCACAGTGGAACCCTGAGTAACATACAAGAAAATAGCTTTTCTATTACATGCAGACACAACCTTTATTTTTTAAAATCTTTTCTTATTAGATGTTTTGTACATTAATAACTTCTAGACCTTTGGTTAGTTCTAAAACACCGCATCAGGTAGAAGTTTTGCATAAGACGTAAGAAGTTGCTGGCTTCAAACCTTTTCTTTAAATTACTATTTTCTATTCCTCACCTAACTCGATTTCCCCAGGTAGCTGAAAGCCTTTGGGCTTTTTTCTTTTTTAAAGTAAGTGCAGCTTACCATGTCACTGTTTTTCCAGTTTCTTAAGGTAAAAGGGGTTCACACTGTGTGAAACTGTTTTGCCTTCAATTATCTGGAGAAACGATGAAATGGTGGGATCTTGCACTTCTATTTTTTTTTCAGGACTTCAACCAACCAAGGAAAAACTAGCTGGTTGTGGAAAAGAAAGTAATAATTAAAATAAAGGCCTTCCAGATTTTGAACCAGCAACTCTTTATGTGCTATGTGGTTTTTTCAATCACTGCAATATTTGCCAGGGATATCAGGCAGGTGAACTTAGAATAGACGAGTATAACTTTTGAGTACATTGAAAGGGTGTTTCTTCTTCTGCAAAACATTTAAATGGACTGTTCGGGTGAGCCTGTTAGGAAATAAAACAGTCCTGCCAAAATGCCACATCATAGAAAAAGACCTTTTTTCAAATTGCTGGAAGAAAATACATCCAGGGATCAAATCTTGTACCGGAAGAGGGATTGGTTTCCAAAGTTTATTTTCTTGCATTGCATGGTGTTTCTTTCAATAATGTTTTGCCTATTGTAGGGTTTACTCCATAGTTTCCTTTAATGTTTATCATCTCAAAAATGGCTAGAAAGTTTTTAGTATTCTTTGTGAGTGATTCCAGGAGCCATAAAAAGAGATTTGGGGGCCATGTGTATAAAAAGAGATTTGGGGGCCATGTGTAACTCTGGACAGTCAGGTTGTCTGTATCTAATCTCTTGTATATAACACGTTCTTCCATACTGTTTATAAAGTATGAATAAAACTCTTGATCCTATTAGTTTAATTTTAGGTCACATTTTACCAATTGACAAAAATCACACTGAATTTTTAAAACAAGAGTTTTAATCGACCTATTTTGAATTACCCCACCTTCAAATAGCTTATTTAAGATATGTATCATGAGGAATAACTATTCTTATATGCATTTGCTCTTATTTCATTTACCATCAAGCGTGCTTCAGGATCATCAAATAATGGACACATTTTAATTTCTTTAAGGGTGGGTAGACCTAAAAAAGATCAGTGGTGGGCATGGAGCCTGGTAATGGTTATTAAGGAAGGAGCTTTAGACAACCAGAGATGCTATGTTGGATGCCCATGTCCTAAAAAAGGGGTTGAAACAGGGGTGGGTTCTACTTACCTTTGCTACCAGTTCGCAATGGGGCTGCGCGCTTCTGATGACGTCGGGGTCGGTGGGCGAAGCTTTCTGCCGGTTTTACTACTGATTCTATAGAACCGGTGTGAACTGGGGGCAACCCACCACATGCAGAGTTTGACAATTTAGGCCAGTATTTCCAGCAACAATATCATCCAGATGGAAGGCC